AGGATAGACAAAGAGATGAATGGAACAGAATTAAGTGCCAAACCGTAATCGAGTATATATGAACACTTATTCTGTGCAAAAGTGGCAAAGCATGGGGAAATAAGAGTCTTTCAAATAAATAGTGCTAGGTTATCTCCATGTCCATATTAATCCTACCTCATTATAGTCACAAAAGTTAATTCTAGATGGACTATACATCTAAATATAAAAAGCAAAGAATAAAGCAGCCTGAAGACAAGGTAGAGAAAATATGCGCGAACACTTCTACAACACAAAAAGCACCCATAAAAAATTGATAAATTGAATTTCATTAAAATTTACAACTTCTGTTGATCAAAAGAGACCATATAGGAAACAATAAAAAAAGCCAAAGAATGGGAGAAGATACATGCATGACATATAATCACCAAAGGGCTCATTTTCAAAATGCATCAATAAGTTTTACAAATTAAGAAGAAAAAGACAAAACAACTCAATTGTTTTATTAAACGGGCAAGAGATTTCAACAGGCAAATCACAAAACAGGAAAATCAAAAGATCTGTATATATTTTTAAAAGTACTCAACCTCATTAATCATCAGTAAAATGCAAACTAAAAAGACAATGGATTACCAATATACTTCTACCTAAAATAAAAGAGACAGTACTAAGTCCTGTCAAAGATATGAAACAACAGGAACTCTCATATTCCCTGCTGAGTTACTAAACTTATATAACCACTTTGGAAAACCATTTGACATTACTTAGTAAAAATGAACATATACAAACACTATGAATCAGCATTTCACTCCAAGTCATTTACCCAACAGATATGCAAACTAATGTGTAGTACACCCACATAACAATAGTGCACCCACAATAATTACAAATGGCATTATTCTCTACATAGCAGCATTATTTATAATAGCTAAAAATGAAAAAATTCAAACACCCATCATTAGTTAAATGGATTAATAAATTGTAGTATACGCACACAAAGGATTAAAAATAAAATAAAGGGCTGAGCCCATGGCGCACTCGGGAGCACTGCTGCGCTCCCGCCGCAGGTTCAGATCCTATATAGGGATGACCAGTGCGCTCACAGTGCTCACAGGCTGAGCGCGGTGCAGCCGGTCTCAAAAAGGACAAATAAATAAATAAATAAATACATAAATACATAAATAAAAATGAACTATTGCTACACGCAAAGTGGATGAATCTCATAAACATAATGTTGAACAAAAGAAGCCAGAGACAAAGGAATACATATGGTGTACTTACATTTATACAAAATTCAAAAAAGACAAGACTATCCTAGTATCAAAAGTCAGTGTGGGGAATTTGAAGAGTAGCAAGAATAGCAATTGGGAAAGCAGCACAAGGTGGGGGTTACTAAGGTACTTGTAACAATTTATTTCCTGACAGATGATAGTAACATAAGCATGTTCATTCTTTCACTGAGCTTTCATACTCTGTATTTGTGCTATAATTCTATAAAAAATGTGAATACATATGCATGTGTGTTTGTGCATGTGCATGTGCACATATATGATTTAACCCCAAGAATGAAGGCTAGTCCTTTCTAGAAATGTTTTTTAATCATGATAGACAGGATAATATTTGGCTATTGTTCCAATGATATGTTACGTATAACTTTGCAGATTTATTTCGGAAGTTTATATTTTAAAATTTTCATCATCCTCCCTAAAGGCCCAATTTTATCATTTTACTATTTGTGCATGTTTTAACTTTTATTGGAAACAGTAACATGTACATGCACTATATTGCAATGGATTACAATGTTTTATCAGTTTTTTACCAAGCAACGTTTCATCTATTTTTTTTTCTTTGGTGGTTGGTTGGTGTGGGGATCCAAACCCTCAATCTTGGTTGTGATCAGCACCACACTCTCCCAAGTGAGCTAACTGGTCACCTCAGCAGTCAATGTTTTAAAATCACTCAATATGTTTCAGGTTAGACTGAAATACAGTAACCCTGATTCGGAATAGACTCTGAAATATAATGACACTGATTTTTATACAAGACTAGCCCAAAATATCAAAACAATAATTATGAAATGTAATCACAAAATATATAATTAACCTATATTCCAAAGAATTCTTACTATATCTTTGTATTTTTTGTATATTTTTTCACAACATTAAAAAAGGAAAAAGTAAAACAAGTAAGAAACAAATACTTATGCATACCTCATGTTTTCAGCTGAATCTTCTGGCATTGGAGCAACAGTTTGTACAGCTGGAAGGTTTTTGCTGGTAGCACCATTCACAAAACTAGAAGAGGAGGAAGAGGAGGAGGACCCTGAATCCACGGCACCTGTTCCCAAAATAATAATTTTTAGCCTTGAACATAAATTTATTTACCAAAATAATTTTAATTATGTCATTACTACCTAATTTTGAAAAAATTACTCATTTGTAATTCAAAACAGAATTTTACAATTAAAAATCATTTGGCCATTAGTATACAAAGACTTTTTTATAATTTTAAATTAACAGCTGTTGCATTAAAATCCAGGTCATTTACTCATGTTAATGTAACAAAACTACATATTACACATGGGGTACAAATAAAAGACATCAATGAATGAAAAATTTTAGATAAAATGAGGCTGACAAAACAATGTAAATTTAAATGTGAAAAATTTATCTCTTTTCATTGCTATGTTGTAATATTTTTAGTGTTCATCTAAGACTTAGTTTACAATGAACTGTCTTTTTAGATAAAATGAGGCTGACAAAACAATGTAAATTTAAATGTGAAAAATTTATCTCTTTTTATTGCTATGTTGTAATATTTTTAGTGTTCATCTAAGACTTAGTTTACAATGAACTGTCGGAGCATAAATTTGTGGCACTACAGCATAAATGCTCATTTTCTTAAAGTGATTGCTTAAAAGGAGCTATAATGAGCAAAACTGTACCTGATTTTAAAATAACGAGTTTTCCTCAACAATGATGATATCATTTTAGAACGTATTTCTCTATAATATACTATGTAAGTATATTTAACAGGCATGGAGTCGAGGGACATCTAGTGTTCCTAAATATTATTATATCTTATACTAATTCCCATAACACTGAATTGATTACTGGCATTTCCACTATAAGATTTTACAGCACCCATGTGCCAGTTTAGAAGTTGGCCCACAATTTACATTTACATATATTTATACACACACACACGCACACACACATACATACATATACATATTTCGAAGGAGGAGGTTTATTACTTTTTATTTTTCATTGTAGTATTATATACTTTACACTATCACTACATCTCTTGCTACCATCATTTTCAAAATCTATTGTTAATCTATTAATTCTTTAAATAGAAATTAAATGAAATCATCATAACTTGTCTCATATAAAGATAAAAAACAAGTGATTTAATTTTTTGTTTATCTAACTTTTAACAAAAATAAGGACTTTATTCAATAAACAACAGTAACTGTAGATTTTTTTTTCCTACTAGATCGGCATATTTTAAAAACCTTAGCACTTTTTGGGTATATACCTTGGTAAAAGAAAAACAGTTTTATCCCTATTTCTAGAAAGCCACATGAATATAAAAAATAAAACTGTGTTACTGAAAAGAAAGACTTATTAAGGTCTTCAGACAAGCCAGATATAAATATTTATTTATAATATAAATAAATAAAAGATGTTATATTCTTTAACACAATACCATTAATGATGTTCATTTGCTAATATAAATATGTTTAATAGAGTACATTCTACTTACTACAACCCCATAAATGTGTTGTTCATGATATGTCAGACTCAGGTGGTATGATAAACAAGATAGATACAGAAAGCACAAAGAAGAGCTACAAAATTAATAAAAATGGGAAGAATCTAAGTAATGATAATAAATGGAAAAGTTCAAGGCTATACAGTTTGGAGAAGAGAAGGCTACTATAGTCAGGGAAGAAAAGTCAGGTATCATCTTGCGTTGTATAAATACCTAAAATGGAATCACAAAGATTTGGGTAAGGATTTATTTAGCTAATAATAAACAGGAACATTTCTGGAAATTTACAAAAGAAAAAAAGGTTATTTTAGGCAGGCTTTTATAATTTGTAGTGTTTTGAATTTTTTGTTCCTAGAATCATTAGGAAATTGTTGGACGATGAATTGGATACGATTGTAATCTAAGTATATAAATTAATTCAGTGTCAAACAATGGTTCTTATTCACATGCACTTTTTATCAAGTTGAGGTGCTTGCATGTTGTCAACGTTGTTAGGGGAGCTCTGCCCTTCCTTAAGTGATTCAGGAACGAATATACATTAAGATTAAACCAGTAAATGTCACCAAATCTATTTTCTGTCACTAACATTTTTAGTGTCACTAACATTTTAGTACATCTTGATATTCTTGATACAACTTACTGATTTTTACATATCAAACTTAAATGTTCAAATTTTCTTTTGCTCCCCAAATATATTTCAGTAATATGATTTTAATCTGTGAGTAAATAACACTGTGTTTTGAGAAGACTCAAAACAGGAACCAGTATTGTCCTCTAAAATGACCACTAAAAAAAGCACCCTAAAACTACAGACAAATTCTGAAAAATCATAACAAATTACAACCTTCTTAAGGATTAAGATAGTCTTAAATGATCAGGGTATTTTAATTAAGATCAAATAAGCAGAAAAATGAAGATATAGAAAACAGAAAGAAAAAGATGAGGTATCACAAAAATATATAAGGACAATACCTGTTGTATTAATCATACTTTTTGGTGTAGCTCCAGTAGCAGCAAATATATTAGAGGTACTGCCTGTTGGCAGTCCACTTCCAACAGTAGTGGCTCCCACAGTGGTTACAGCTAAGCTACCTGGAGGAGGCTTCTTCACAGGCACCACCACACTTCTGCAAAGAAAGAAATGACAGAAGATAACAAACATGAATTTTAAGATGATCTCTAATACTGTTATGGCAGATCCACATGGTCAATTATCAAATTTCCTTTTTTCTCTCTCTTTCTTTACTTTAATATTTTTAAAAAATATTAAATTCCTGAGCCCAAGTTCATTGGTGAAAAGGATGTGGACATTAAAGATATATTTTAAAGTGTATTGACTACTAAAATTCATTTGGCAAACATTTATGTAGAATCTGGGGCATACAGGAGGATGTGCATAGGATGGATATATGCAAATAGTATGCCATTTTCTATCAGGGATTTGAGCATCCACAGATTTTGGTATCTGCACAGGAGGTCCTGGAACATATCGCCTGTGAATATTGAGAGACAACTGAACTTGAAACTTTTTTGTGACCAAAGGTATTACAATCTTAAATAATTTTATTTATGCTCCCCCCAAATTTCTTCATTATCCCTTTCTGGATACTTTCCCAACATATCGCCTGTGAATATTGAGAGACAACTGAACTTGAAACTTTTTTGTGACCAAAGGTACTACAATCTTAAATAATTTTATTTATGCTCCCCCCAAATTTCTTCATTATCCCTTTCTGGATACTTTCCCCTTTTTTCTTTATGGATGTCGGAGTCAAATTCTTCAGACACAACCTTGAACTCTCAACTACCTAATTACTAAAAGCACACATTATGCTTTCAATCCCTACAATGGCCAGTCTTCATCTCATGCCTTCATTTATTGAGAGGCAGTGTGACATTGTGGAAAGAATATACGATGTGGCATCAGAAGATTATGCCTTGATAACTGGATCACTCTCAAGCTGTCTGATCTTAAATTTTAGATTCTCACTGAAAAAATGGCAAGACTAATGTTGCCTACTTCGCATATAACTGGAGTACTAAATGAGAGTATATTTAAAAGGAACCTGTCAATTATGAGGTGTCTTATAAATGTTAACATTTATTACCACTGTCTAAACTGTAGGACCCAAAGTTTCTAATTACAATGATCTACATAAAGGTCAATAGAAAACAAAAAGGAGAAGATACTAATATTTGGGGCTTATCACCAAAACTCTTCTCTAAATTTCTAAACTAATGTGAGATGCACTGTTTTACTGTCTGTCTAGCAAGAAAACAAAATCAACAATACTTGATTCAAAAGTAAGTCATTAATGAAACTACACTTTTTTCTTACCTCCCATAAAAATTCTTAAGGATAAAATAAAGAAACATAAGCTAACTGACAGTGCTGTGGGATGAATCTGTAGATGGTGGAAAAACTATTACTAAGGATTCCTGATTAACAGATTATTACCAATTTGGGGCACAAACCCTCTGTAACAGACTACTACTGGTATCTTGTTCAGTGTAGAGTCTATGACATATAAGTTATATTATAAAAAATAAGTTACATAAATAAGAGAAAAAAATTTATATATCAAAATCCTGTAATGATGGCTTATAAATAGAACACAAAAACATTAAGTGCTGGCCTACTAAAAACACCTGAAAGCATTGAATTAATAGCAATTGATGTGAAAGACTCCAGACATTTCATTGACAGCAAACTCAACAGAGTTTGATAGTATGCCATGGTATATAAATATAGTGGCACAGCAGTTAAAAGCCCAGTTTTTAATGTCATGTAGACCTGGGTTAGAATTCTACTTCCAATACCTATTAACTATGTAGTATTGTGCATATAAATCTCTCTAAGCTCCATTCTCCTCCCCATTGAAATGGGGTGCATAGTTTATACCTCATAAGATTGTTACAATGATAAAAGAAGACAATGCATATAAAATGCTTAGCACACTACCTAGAATATTGTAAGCGGTTAATACATTTTGGCTATTATTAGCATTGCTATGGCTCCCAAAAGGGTTGATGTAGTCTATGTCTCCATCAGCAGCAGTACCTAGATAGAAAGAAGCAATAATCCTGCCATTGTCATTCCTCTTAAACAAAATCCTATGTGCAGTTATAGGCACCACATTTCAAGAATAATGACAAACAGTATCATGACCATAAAAGAACATTTAAGATGACAGTAGTTATGGAAAACAAATCATAAGGAAAGGCTACAAGATTAGAAAATTATAGTAAAAGAGAAAGCTCTTAAACAAAATCCTATGTGCAGTTATAGGCACCACATTTCAAGAATAATGACAAACAGTCTCATGACCATAAAAGAACAGTTAAGATGACAGTAGTTATGAAAAACAAATCATAAGGAAAGGCTACAAGATTAGAAAATTATAGTAAAAGAGAAAGAAAAAAATATTATAATTTTTAAAAATCTGAAGGTATGTGATAAGAAAACAAGATGAAACTTCCAGATATCTGAAAATACTAACTCAGGACCAAGAAGAAGAAGAAATCTCTAGTAATTTTATGAGCTCCAATCACTGATATGTTCAAATGGTTAGGATGACCATGTGACAAGGGTTTTGTTGAGAGAAGTAGGAGCTAGATTTGACTGATTTCTCAGATTGTTTTCTAAATCTACACTTTTATGAATTTGTGAAAACTACTTCCCTTTGATTAATTTTTTATCTAGACTCAGAATACTACACATTCTTGTCCTTAATATCATTTCTTCACCAACACTATCCACTATCTATTTTCTAACATTGCAAACCATTCTCTGTCCTAAGCAATCATTTTGCAAATAATTTGAAAGATCATATTTATCAATATGTGTTGATAACAAATTAAGTATCTTTCAGAAAGTTATTTAGTACTGACAACTACTTAAATTAGAAGGTAAAAAATTTCAACTCTTACAAAATCTTCTATCGGGTTGATTCCTCAGTATTTCTCACTGGTTAACTATTCCATCTACACCAAAAAAGTCTATCCATGAGTGTAAGTACCCATTGTATGTACCCATTTAGGGTGCATAATACACTAAAATACACACAAATTAGAGGGGTACATATTTTTTTTTCTAGAGTGAGCAAATAACTTTAATCTGAATTTCAAAAACATACAGCCACAAAAAAGTTAAGAGCACTAATCTAAACTATTCATGTATTATGCTCTTCTTGTAGATCTGCTATTCATTCTGACAGATACCTAGAATCCTCTACACTACATACACACTCTTTACCAATTGCATTTTTTTTACCTCAAGAATATTCTTTCCATGCTTTCCCACACTATTACAAATTTCTGTCCCATACCTTTAAGACTGCAAATTACAATGAAGTGGATAATTCCTTTACACTGCACATAATCTATACACACTCCAAGGTTGTAATGGTTATCATCAAAAAAAGTGCAAGCCAGGAAATAAATCAGTAACTCACTTTAACAAAACTTTTCATTGAGTGATTGGTTACATACTTTTAATACATTGAGTGATACATAATACACATAAGTGTGAAGTCTTCGATCATTGAATTTATCCTATCTCAAAGCCAGAGATCTGGGGTGTGATCTAAAATTTATTCATTCATTCACTCATTCATTCATTTAACAAATATATACTGAGCTCTGCAATGTGTATGGGACTACTCTAAGTTCTAGACATATAGCAATGTATAGAACAAAACCCCTGCCCTTAAGAAATTTACATTCCAATAGAAGGAAACATAAAATACAATAACATAAATGAGTAAATATAGTATATCAGTGGTAAGTGCTATGCAAAAAATAAAGCATGGATAAGGATAGGAAATATTGTTGAAAGGGTGGCTTGCAGAAGACAGACAACAAAGGTGGCATTTGAGAAAACATTGAAGGGGGTGAAGGCATAAGCCATGAGCATATATAGGGAGGAGTGTCACAGGCAGAAGAAACAGCAAGAATGCTAGTGTGACTAGAGAAGAAGGAGCAACATGGAGAGTTGTAAGAGATGAGAGAAATAATAGGAGCTCAGCCTATAGGGCCTTGTAATCCTTTGTATAGTGGCTGGTTTTTACTCAGAGTGGAATAAGAAGCTATTAAAGGATTATAAAGAGCAGGGAGATATGACCTTAGGTTAATAACAGGATCACCCTGATCACCGTGTTGAAGATAGTCTTAAGGGAGACAAGGGAAGAAGTGGGAGACTGGTTAGGAGAATACTACAATAATACGAGCAAGAAGTGATGGTGGTTTGGATCAGAATAGCAAAGAGAAACTAGAGAAAAGTGGGTCAGATTTTGGCTATATTAAGAAGGCATAGCAAACAGGATTTGAAGAAGGGCTGCAAGTGGGCTTGAGAGAAAACTCAAAGATGATGCAAACATGTTTGCCTTAAGTAACTGGAAGGTGACTTGCCATTAACTAAGATAGGGAAGACTGTGATTGGACCAGCTCTTTTACACCTACTTTTTCATACCTGTTAAGCTATTAATCATCCAAACAGCAATGTCAAATAAACAATTAGATAGATCAGTCTCTAGTTCAGAAGAGAGGTTTGGACTAAGATATAAGTAAGGGAGCCATCGGCATACAGATGCTATTTAATGCCAGGAAAGCACCTACTTTTTCATACCTGTTAAGCTATTAATCATCCAAACAGCAATGTCAAATAAACAATTAAATAGATCAGTCTCTAGTTCAGAAGAGAGGTTTGGACTAAGATGTAAGTAAGGGAGCCATCGGCATACAGATGCTATTTAATGCCAGGAAAGCGGATGAGATCACCAAATAAGTGAGTGCAAATGGATAGGAGATGTGGTCCAAGGACAGAATCTTGAGGGGGGGCTCCCATTAAGTAATTCTGTGAATTTTGTAAAACCAAGGATACTATATTATCTGTGTACCTCATGGTTTGTCCTAAGTATAAAGTGGGATACTCAAGATAAGAAAGGGCTTTTAAATAGTAACTGATTAATGCAAATAAATTTTATAATTATTTCTGGCAGCCTATAAGAATCCCTTTCTTCACTTTTTTCCCTTCCACATATTGGCACTAACAGATTAGGGGATACAATTACACTGATAAATTTAGGGGATACAAAGACAACTAAGACATGCCTCATGCCTTGGAGAT